AGTTGAATTTTGATTTTTTGTAGTCTATTTTAATGAACAGAAAGCATGGGCTGATGAAGTAGAAGAATGGGAGAACTGCAGAAACGACGACGTATCATGCCCAGCTATGTATGTTCCTTAAAATATTACTAAGATGGTTCATCATTGCATCAAAAACATCATGGCTAACATCTCATAAGACTTCATCTTATTGATTTTAGACTACAAGATTTTGATTGCAAATTGTTTTGAAACGTGAAATGGTTAATATTCGCTGTTAATTAACATGGTAAATGTTTTAGATATGCTTCTGAAAGTGCAGAAGATGCCTGTGCATGGGCATATGAAGGGGCCCCTGAAGGTTCAGTACTGGATGGTAAGCAATGGTAATTTCGATAGTTGTGAAAACCTCTCTTTTGTCTTATTCTGTTCTAACTATACCATCAAAATGCACTCTGCAGATGAATACTTCTTTTCTCGTTTTCCGATAGTCAATTTGCGGTTAGCTCAAGGAGGAGTTCGATTGGCTGCAACTCTTAATCGTATTTTTGACACAGTATCTCTAATGTCAATGTAATTTATTGAAGGTTAGAAATAGATCAACAATTTCCATGTTATAATAGAATAAACCGTAAAAGCTAATTTGTTCAACTAGTTTGTGTGTTTTAAGATTTTAGGTCACTTTGCTGATTAGGAAAAGAAAAGAAAAGAAAGACATTGGGAGGGGCCGCTCATGAGCAATTTGATATCATATTATAGGTGCTTTCATTGAATCAAATAAATGAGAATGATGATACTGAATTCATTAAAATGTGGCATGCATCAAACTTTTAAATCATAATTTAAATAGGTGAATTTAAGATGTATTAAAATAAGAAGAAAAATGTTGTGTGATAATTTTTCGGAGAGGTGAGACTTGTAATTGCAATAAACAATTTATTTGGTCATCAGTGAATGATTGGACAGACTTATAATGGAAAGAAAAATAAGAAAAAAATATCATAAGTTAAATTTCATTCATGGATTATTTAAGAAAATAATATGAAGAACTTTTCATAAATTAATTTATATAATAAAATTTTAATTTATAAAAAAAAAAGTTGTTAACAACAAAGGAAGAACTGAAGTAAATGATGTTTTAATGATGAAGTTAACTTTTTGTTTGAAGATTAGTAGAATTTGTAGTTCAATTTGTAGTTCAATGTAAAACTTTTGTATTTGTACTTGTAGATTAGACTTAGCATAGAAAGATACACGATCTATTGGAGAGACCATAAGGATTTGTATTTGTAAAATAATCGATTATCACTTGAGATAATCTCTTATTAATGGCAGTTCTGAAAAGGCTTTTCAGCTTCACTCGGACAACAATAAAAGGAAGCGCACTTGCTGATTATCTAGCATATCAGGGCAATTGATGATTATGAGCCTAACCAACTTTCATATTTGAGTTTATAAATAGTTTGTCTCTGAATGTTTTTGAAACTGTTAATCCTTTTTTAATAGTTTAGTGCTTGTGCTGAGAAACTCTTTGTGTTCTAAGTTAAGAGCTTGTAATACCTAGTGTTGGTAGAAGGAAGTGCTTCCACTAAGTGTGTCGAAGTGAGTGTAAACATCTGTTGTGCCTAGGATAAGTTTTCCATCATTTGTGTGTCAAAGGAAGTGTTGTTCATCTCTTGTACCTTTAACAGAGGTGTTTTCTAACATTTACTCTACTCTTTTGTTATTGTAAGTTCTAGTTATTTTTAGTGATTAATTAATCCCTCTTTAGATATATTAACAATTGGACATAGACTCTTTTGATCCAAGCATAAAACTACATGTGCAAATTTCTCTTTCCCTATACTCTTTACTTTATTGTTCTTGTGTTAAAAGAATTGATTTTTGTTATAAAATAAATTTATGAGAAGGAAAAAAAATTTAAATTTTTTTAATTAGTAAATCAATTCACCCTTTTGATTTTATCTAGGCTTTAATATTCCATTGCACGATTCTAACAAAAGTTAACCTTATTTTTATTTTTATTTTCTTTCATAAAATAGTTCATAGAGAACTAAACTCATATTGTTTTTGTATTTTTAGATTTTATTTAAAGAATCTTATAAGTTTTTCTACTACATATAGTGTCAAAATTAGTCATGATCGGAAGAAAAATAAAATGCTTAAACGAAGAATAATTAATTAAGATAATTTTTTAAAAATAATTATCCAAATGGACTCAAACATGATAATTTATGAATTAAGCTCTCATTTGTATTTATAATAAGAATTTAATTTATTAAAATTAAATTCTGGTCCAGTTTTCCATTTTTTCTTATCTTTTTCCATATAAAATGATAGGCTCCTCCTCAAGTTAGTTTGAGTCAAAGCAAGAAAATGAATGTATGGTGGTAGAAGTGGCATAGCTTTGAAGATAGCGGTGGTTGCTCTCGGTTTTGGTGGTTTAAGTGATGGAATGGAGATGGTTGATGATGCTCTTAGAGAGGTTGGACCAACTCCATAGATGGATGGCTATAGGGATCTCATGGGATGTTCTAATCATGACTTAGAGACAAGTTAAGAATGAGTCAAGAATTTGGTAGCATTTCATTACTAATCTCAAAGTGGATTTATAATGGGACCAAAACCTAAAATGCTATCTTGCACCAAACCCTAAAAAACCTATCTTGGTGAGTGACAACTTGACACGTAACACTATAACTTTTAGAAAAACTCTCCACTACTAGAGTGTTATGTGGAAAGCCACTTTAGCAAAAGTTTCTCCACTTGGAAAATGACACATGGTCACTACCATTGTAAGAAAACTCTTCACTAAGAGCTTGTCATGTGGAACGTCACTTTAGCAAAAGTTATCCTCTAGGAAAATGATACATGATCATTACGTTTATAAGAAAACTCTTCACTACGAGTTTGACATGTAGCCACCATGTCTCATGTGGGACACCCTCCACTAAGCTAGATTACAAAACTAATCACCCAATATTAGCTTAAGCTAGGCACAAATATTGCCCTACAACTTAAGCAAGATTGTTTAAAAATCCTACACTACTTTACCCTTAATACAAGGCCTAAAAAGAAATCCTACACTACTTGATCCTTAATACAAGGTCTAGAAATACTTCATGATAGCCCAAGTGAATAAGAGTTTAGCTTATTTAATTTGGGACAAATATATCTCTAAATATTTTATTTGAAATTTTTAAATAATTATCTTATTTAACAGATAAAAAATATCAAAAGATAATAACTACCAAATCTTTTGAAATCCAACAAAATCTTCTTAAATATTTGTAAATCTTCATAGAGGGTTTGAATAGTGTTTCAAAACTTTTCGCAAAAACAATGTTTAATAATAATTAAGAGTGTTGGATAAACTACAGTAGTTGTTAAAGGCTTGTGTTTTCAAGGAAGCATTTAGGAAAACGTTTAAAACAGAAAATTAATAACACACGTATTTTTATATTGGATCACTCAACTTAAGGTACGTCCAATCTCTCTTATGACCTCTTAAAGGGTTCTACTAATCTTATCAACCACTTTTGGTTCCCCTTGTCAACCTGACTAGTCTAAGTTTAATCACTCCAAGCATCAACCCTAGACAACCTGTTTAGAACGTTTAGCTCAACTAAGTTAAACAATACAAGTATTTTAATTCACTTCTGATTATACAAACATAATCAGTGTTTTGATTACAAGTACATATTCAAATGACTCTTAAAGAGAGGATAAATTCAATAAAATAAAATTTGATAACTTGAAAGACGTTTCCTTGTTCATAGAACAGACTGAGACGATGTAAGCTTCTGAAGAGAATAATAACGTAACAATTTAATGATTGCAAAAGTTCTTCTTTTCTCTTTAGGGAGTCCTCCTTATAAAGCTTTCTTCGAGAGATGACCATTACTAGAGAGAGTTGACATTCTTAAGAGTAAGTGACTTCTTGTGTGAAGATTTATACTTTTCTGCATCTTAGGAAGAGCAACACTACTTTAGTAGTGAGAGCTTATACGATTATTAAAGCAGGACATAAAGCTTTAGGAAACATTCCAAG